CAAGAAATATGCTTAGTTCCAAAATATTTGTTATAAACAGACATAGCCTGTGACATGAAAGATACACACCCATAACACATTTTAAAATTTAACCTGCTCCTTACTTCTTTTCCCATTTTGGGGGGAAAGCCTGTAACGATAGAGTTGCAGTTTTTAGGAAAATACCAGAGAATTATTTCTACATGTCTCCAGAGAAAATAGAATAGTGGTGGGTGTTGAAGGACAAAAGATTCTTGGCATTAGTGTTCTCTCTTTTTTTGCTCTAAGAAGCCATCATCTTAAAAACAGAAAGTCTTGTTTAGAAGTTTCATCAATTAAAAAGTGTTGAGAAGTATAAACAAAGTGCAAAAATCTCAGTTTGATAACCTCATGAACTCAGATTTCAAAACAAAGATTTGTGACAACATGAATCAAATTATCCATATTGGTACATTCAAGTGCCATAAAAAGTAAGCTACATGCAAGAAGATATCATTAATACGGAGGCAAAAAATAACAGGTTAGGTATCCGAGCTATGTTGTGAAGACAGAGCACACTCATATTTACTTCAGGGAAGCCTTGAAGATCAACATGCAAACAGAGGACACATACTTGTCACGATAGAATTTTAGCTCACAAGGCCATCAATTAAAAACAGTTGATTTCAACACAAATGTAGGAATAAACAGGTCTGAGGTCTATCAGGAAAACGGAATATATCAATATATATTTTAAACTTACTATAATGGCTAAGTATTGCTTCTAGCAATATAATTAAGTTGTAAAGAAGTAACACAACATTTTAATTCAGAGAAAGGTATATTTATGTACAGATCTTGAATAAATCTGTATCCCAGGACTTTTAAAGATGGGTAGAGTGGTCTGGAAATTCAGCCCTGGCTGGAGGCTAAGGGGCACCAGCACCATTTTCCTTAAACCATCAACATTCTACTTGTGAAAAGCTGGCGTTTAACCTTTGCAGATACCTTCTATACACCAGGCAGGATAGAGTTGTTTTTCTCTGTACATCTCAGAAATACACATAAGAAGGCCACAGAAGTCAAAAGCCCTTTTCCAAAAAGGGCCTTTGTATATACTGGTTTGATATCTCAAGAAAAGGAGTGGTTATGGATTCATAGGTTAAAATGTATCATTTTAAGGCTTTTGAAAAATTAGCAAGTTGAATTTTTTCCTTAAACTACAGAGGCCATGCCACATAAATGACTATAGAAGATTAGGAAATATTCCATCCAATGTTTCTACAGAGTATCCTGCTTTGCGTGAAACACTGAAGAGGAGGACAGCAACAGTAAACAATAAGAACATGCAGGATAAGAGTTAAAGCTTTGGGGGAAAGTACCAACTGTCATATGCTTAAATCTGATTTGTCTAAACTTGTTAAATATCAGTGAGGAAAGCTGGCTTGGGCAATCCATTGCTACTCCTTTGTGCCCCACAATACATATTCTACAAAGAGTAACATTTTATTGACAGAAAAATGATCACAAAGAGCTCCCCTAGGACAGTGAACTATCAAGATCAGAGGGCATCATACAGGAGACAACACAGTAGAAGCAAACAACAAAAGTTCAGTGGTTTTAGTCTTGACATTTCAGATGAGCACCCTGTCTTCCGATCACAGAAAGACCAACCACCAAACAGCCAACGCAAGAATCACGAGAAAAGACATCATGAAAGGAATACGAGGTGATGGGAAAGTACTAGAGTAGAGGCGGCACTTTTTGAGAGGCTTGTGATCCTCAGGGATTGGAATAGAAACCTTGGGAAGAATTTCTTCATTTTCTTGCTGGGGCAAGGCTCTCTCAGTAGATCTCTCTTGCCTTTTAATTTTCTCTTCATCCTGCACTAACAGAGCACGTTCCTGTGTCTGCTTTCACGGTAGAAGATCAAGAAAGACAGAGAAAGATGAACAAAATGACAGATGGAAAAATGCTCAAAAATGATACTTGGGGATGTGCAAAGGATTGGGGAAAATCTTATGGACACTCTTTATTTCACTTTACTTGGGCAATTTATCCCAGCAAAGTTTCCTTAACACAGGAGAGTACTCCATAGATCATTTTTTGAATGAATGCACATCAGAAGTCCTGAAAGTTCAAGGAATTACTTGACTTATTTAGTTATAGTATTTGTTCCTTGAGGCTTCAAGGATACTCATAGGAATTTTGGGTCATTTTGCATTGTTTTAGTGCTGCCAGTTTTTCTTAGATCAATTGGGCAAAGCCAATAATGAAGCATTCTTTTCGCCATCAGAAAAGTTACTTTTATTACAAATAGAATGGCAGAATATAAAAAGTTATCCTCATACCTCTTCACACAGACTTAAAAAGCTCTAACAGTTCATTCAACGTGGCGATTAGCTTTTGCTCAAAGCAATAAAAATCTTATTCCCATACGTTTTAAAGATTGCAAAAGAAAAACAAAAGTATAAAAGTTTATATGTGCCTCCAAGGTCTACCAAAAACAAATACCCCCCCCCCACAAATCTCAACAACTGTAAACTCCCTCCCCCTCTTGCAGAATCATGATTAGAAATAACAGTGATAACAATCATCGTGAAGGTTTATACATCACATTAAGCAAGTACTTTTGACACTTTTAAGGTAAGTTGTCTTTTCCAACTGTCCAGTTAAGAAGTTTTCTCCCCCCCACAATTTCTGTGCTCTGCCATCTACTCAAGACAGATATTATCTATGAAAGAAAAAACTTGGCTCTAAGCTCTCTCAGTTGGGCCAGCCTTCTCTGGTCAGTTTGGAATTTCGACACAGGTTCTTTGCACACCCCTAAGTGATATGTATCAGGGAGAAAGTAGCTGGGGGACTGGTCAGCAAAAAAGAAAAAAGGAAAAGAAAGGATGCAAAATTATAATGATTTTCCAAAGAAAATAAAGAGGGAGAAGAAAGACAACATAAAAAGAATAGGGTACAATTAAATTCATTTTCTCTCCGAATACATATTTACATCTTCATGCAGCTTTTCAACCAGCCATGCGCCGAAATAAGCAAATTGAAAGCTGCAAAAGCTGCAGCCGTGGAAATGTTATGTGTTAGGTCAAACGGCAGTGGGGGTGTGAATTTACTAGTAGAGCCAAAAGAAAAAAAATTACTCAGCAACTGCTGTTCAGTTCTGGGGATTATCTGCTTAGTGCCATGACAAGAGCAAATTCGGATTAAGAAGCACAAGTCATAACAGCAGCTTTACCTCTGGCCCACCAACCTTTCTTTCCGAGGGAAGGACAGAGATTTTCTTCACCTGGTCATACACAAATTACATAAAATTCAGTAGCCTTGCAATGCAACAACAATGCTGCCAAAGACGGAAGAGGTATCCCCAGAGAACAGAAATATCGCCCTAATTATTAAAGAAAAAGTAAGATATGCCAGAAAGTGGAGTTATCCTATATAAAAGGTTATCATAGTACAGTTCTTATTTATTCTGTTATTCATTTAGAGGAGTAATATACATAAGAGCTAAAGTGGCTCAAATACTCCCCACTAATCTAACTTATAAAAAGTCCTTTCTTTAAATCCACAGAATGAATCCATTTCCAACCAGCCCTGAGGTGATTTCTGGAGGGTTTTATTAAGATATAAGATGCTTTCTGGAAATGGAGACTGATTCAAATTTACCAAACTTAATCCAAGAGAGTAGTAAGTTACTTTTTTGAAGTAATTGAGCATCTTTTATTATTTCCACAGAGTCAAAAAGAAAACTTCTAGAAAATATGCAGTTATGGTTTACAGAGAGGGTTAACCAGGCATGATAGCAACAAGACATTTCTCCTGGTATCTAGGTTTGTAGAAAGCAGAGTCATTGTCTTAGTTCAGGGTACATTATCTAGATTTAGGATACAAAACGGATGTCCATTTATATCAGGGAATGGAGGCAGAGAGGACAATGAATAAGGACAACGGCATCCTGTCACCCCCAGTAACCAGCTACCCATATTCGGGAATTCTCCAGTCTTGGTGAATTGTTAGCCAATTCCAATCGCATTTTGAAAAATATAAAAAGTACCCTTTGTGAGACAATTTTTATCATCTTCTCCAGTTCCAGAAACTAGACAAACGTGGATAGTTTACCATGAATTCTGAATATAAAAACAAGGTGGTTTTTTTTTAAAGGTATTAAGACATCACTACCTTTAACTAGAATTGCTACTGCTTTTGGCAAAAAGCAAGCATATAATTTTAAAAATCATCATAACCACTCATTAAGTCATTGTGACTATTTATATAAATATTAACCTGAATAGGCTAAAGATTAAGTCGAGAATTTTTAAATACATGCTTAAGGTAACTTTTAAGATATTCCATTTCACAGATTTATTTAGTCAAGTGTAGGATTTCTAAGATAGGTAATGACAACAATAACACAAAAAGAACAGCCTCCCAAAGGTGTCTCTGACTTCTTCTACTTGTGATTATCTTATAAAACAATGTGTTAAAGTTTGATGTGACTCATAAAGATAAAATAAATCGTCAACGGTTTTTCTAAAATTGAAATACAATCACTAATATGTGGTATTCTGCATTCTCTGGCTTAGGGGCCTCCTTGGTTTATTATATAATTGTGGTCAACCATTCCAGACATTTTTAAGTTGTGCAAATGTTCAAATAAAGTTTTAAAAAAATGTTTATCCTGTTCCAATTTTGACCTTACTAAATTTAGTAAACTCTCTGGTCCTTGGAGGCACAGTTTGAACATAAAGTTCCACTGGCTTATGGTCAATTTGTAAACACACACTAGCCAGAAGGAGGGAGTTCTCAAGAGTCTGATCATCTAATGGTAGTTCTAATGGCTCCTATAATTCCACTGGGTAGCCCACAGGACTTAAAAAAACAAGTGTTTGATTATGCATGCCTTAAAGCTGCAATGAACTGGTAAAGAATCAAAACCAAATTTCAGCTCTAAACTTACTTTCAGATACAGAACATTAATACACAAAAACATTTATTTCATTCATTCTCACAAGTGGTCACATGGACAAAGTACTCACTCCTTCTCCTGTGGGAAGCTGCCCATTGATGTTAAGTGTTCGGAATGGGGAGTGAGTGGATAAGCGTTTATCCCATTCACTAGGCCGTGGTTCTGGTACAGATTCCATAAAGTTCTTTTTCAGCTCACTGATGCTGGCATGATGTTTTTTTATCTCTTCTTGACTTTTGTCTAAATCCTATAGTTGAAAGGACAAAGATGCAAAACAATAAATACTCAAGAGAAAAAGAACACATCAAAGGAAGCCCATCAGACTGCGGGCACTGGTAGAAAACACACCACATCCAGGGCAGATGTTATGAATCCATAAATTGCATTCAAATTTTAAATATGCAACATGGTATATTGGCTTGCCTTTTTTTTTTTTTTTTTTTAATGAGGTGCTTTTCTTGGAAGCAGTAAAGCATCATAACCCACAGCTTTTAGCAGTTATGTAACCCATGGACCTCACTCCTTAATTTTACAATTTTTCTTCCCATTATGACACAGTGTTTGATCTCCAACTCCTCATCCCAGGAAGGTAATCTCACAGCTCAATTAGTCTCAGCTTGATAGGAACTGATTGAGGCTCAGCTTAGGCAGGATGGAGATAGCAATAAATAAGGGGCAACTAGTTAAACAAAGGACATAATAGAAGACGCAACTGCCACCATTGGCTGCTTTGCTTTGGTGAGTTGCAAACATATAGCATCCCTCTATTTCTACCTGGAGATCGTTTTGCTTCCCTTTTACTAGGTGGCTATTGCTGGTTTTCATAAATAAGAAAAGCCCTTTCTTGTTGTAAGAATTTATTACTTGAATTCCTGGCTCAAGCCTCGAGAGAAAATTGTTACTGCCTCTGAAAAATCACTTGGGTATGTAATATAATGACTTTTTTTCTTTACCAATACTATTCACACAAACTAAAAGTTTTATGCCTTCCAGCTTCTGAGAGCTTTACTTCATCTCTTAGTATAATTCAAAGTAGGGACCTTCTTCCAGTAATTTTCAACAGATTGGAAGTGATTTAACAAGAATTCATCAAATACCTTATATATCTCCTTGACAATTTAAAATATCTCAACTGTTCCAACAGAATTGAATACTGGACAACTAGGTTCAAGCTCTTAAATGGGATATTCCAGAGACAAAAGATCAAAACTAAGGTTAATAAAGCTAGAAATAATATTCAGGTTTATGTAGCAGGAGGCATATAAAATTTCCAAAAGGTAGACTTGGCAAGAAAAAAAAATGAGAAATACTACTTGGAAGACAAAAACTCAAATGTTTTTTGCCCAACATACTTCTCCAAAAAAAGTCAGGAGATCTATGCTTGAGATCAAAATATGTGGGAGCCTGTCACTTGATGACTGCTAAAAATTCTGTGTTTATTATATATCACAGCAGCTCTGTATCCAAGAAAAGCATAATATTAAATATATCTTTTAATATGCTCTGTGAATTTGGGGACTAGTTGTTCCTTTTTTGGGGAAAAAAAAGCTGGAACTCACTTAAATAAAAATTTGTTTGAATAATTTTTCTGGAGCAATGTATGTTTCACCTAAATAAATTTTTTTCAAAGGCAACGTCCAAGGGAAAATAGCATAGGAGAAAGAACTGGCGAGGCACACGACATAATTTTGATTCTGGAGATATATATTCATAAAATTCCTTTAAGTCTATACTTTTAATTTTTGCAACACTAAACCATCTATATTTGCTTTGAGATCAAAGAGAAAACTAACCCAAAAAGGGCAATCCTGTAGCTTCCCCATAAAAGTACCTCTTGCTTGTTGGGATGAATGAGTATAGCCCACGAATATGGGCTTTACCATGGGGAAACAACAGTGTGCACTTTTATTCTACCTGAAAGCAAGAAAAGCATGTTTACTAGCTAAAGAAAAGCATGAACAAGCTTGCTCAAAGACTCAGTAATAGGCTGAGCAACTGAGACCCACAAGGCATGTAAGGCCCTGTGACCCAGCTCCTAACTGGAAATTACATCTGCTTGGTTGAAGAACAATTGAACACATCTGGGAGAGTTACAAGTATGAATGGAGGAAAACAAAAATGAGTGAGGGATGCTATGGTAAAACTGTAACTCTCCAGGCTAGCCTCTTAATATGAGAGTGGGGATTTGTTGTTCTTCTTGCCTAGCTTTGGATTGGCTTGGAACCTGAGAAAATAAATGTTGCAATAAAATCAGCAGCTTCTGAAGGAGCTTTCTCCATCCTTCTTAGCTGGCTCTGTTAGAAACCTGTGGGGGCACAGAGTAAAATTAAGATCTCAAAGGGACCTGTTCCAAATAGAATTTGTCATAGACACTTGCTACAGGTTCTCTCTGGGAGATGGAGGAGGAGGCGGTAGATCTAAAAATGAACTCGACCTTATTTGGCCAGAACAAAGCATTAGCGGGGGTGGGGGAGGAGTAGGGGGAAGAGAGATGCTTTAGGAAAAAAAAAAAAAAAAAAAAAACCCTGCTAGAGTGACAGATAACTTGGGAGAACCTCCTTGGCGGGGTGAGGGAGACGAAAAAACTTTTTACCATAAACTAGAGAATGATGGTTAGCCAAATTACTTGGGCTGTTTTTAGGCTAGACACTTTTTGATGCTTATCATCTTATAATTTTAGCAGCAGCCAAACCAAACCATTAAATATAAAATGTTCTCAACAAGTAGTTAGTAGTTTTAATTTTCAAACACACACTTATTTAGAAATCCCCTCTTGTGGCTGTCAGTGAAATGCTGGGGGAAAAAAACACACCACACACAGAGATTCTGTGAGTCTCAGAAGCCATAACACACCTCATTGAACAAATGACAAATATATGATTGGCACTGCAGGTTCCAGTCAAGAGGAAGCACTAAAGACAGACCCGTGAAGGAAAAGGCATGTTTGAGATTGGGAGAGGTTACCTTGCCAAGAACAAGGACATCAACGGACATATGCCATTCTTCCTAATCTCAGAAGCAGAACCGTTTAGGTCTAGTTTCAGTGATGGGCTAAAGCAAAGAGATCTAGTTGCCAAACATCCATGAGATTTAAAAATCTCATGTTACATGAGGTAAATGTATGTAAAAACGCTTGGTATTGTGCCCATCACGCAGTACGTGATTACTGAAGGCTGGCCATAATTTTTATTATTTATATTAAAGTACCTTATACATACATAGCTAGCACTCAAAAATACATGTTTTGACAAAAAATAAGACAAGGTTAAGTAACTATTAGAAGCCATTATATTAAACCAGAGATCTATCTAAAAAAGCTTCTCCAAATTTCCAGTTTAATAATATTTACCACATTTCATATATATTCATCTTTCAGGTCTCAGCTAATATGTTTTCTTTTCAGAGAGAACCTCACCATCTATCTTATTCAGAGTAGATCTCCTTCCTTAGCACAGCATACAGTTTATTTTCTTCACAGCTTCTGTAACAACTTGAAGTCATCTTATCTCTATTTGGTTACTTGTGTATTGTTTCTCTCCTCCCTACTTCCACACATTGTTAAGCTTCTTGAAGGCAGGGACCAACTTCCTTTATCATCCTCCAATATATTTATATTTCCTTCAAACTGAGGTTCAATCCCCAACGTCAGAGTTATACTCATTTCTTTTGGCTCTGCCTTGAGCAAAATTGTAAGATAATCTGGTCAACTATAAGAGTCTTTGTGATGTGTAAACTAATGTAACCTCAGTGTTTTCTACACATTATTATTGTTCCTCACTTTTTCCATGTTCCTACACATTATCCGTGTTCCTCACTTTTTCCTCAGAGTTCCTCTGATCTTCTAATTAGTTTTATATTTCCCTATCTAATGTGGAGGCCCAAACTAGGTAAGTTTACTAACATAAGTCTGGTAAAAATCTCATCACTGTTGAATGTAACGAGAAAATGACCTTACAATTCCTATAGTACACAGTATGTTGCTATCTCTATATGGAAAAAGTATAGTTTAATAGAAATGGATAGACCCTTAACTCAAATCCTAGCTTTACCAATTTATTAGCTTTGTGACCACAGGGAAATTAATTTCTCTAAGCCTTAGTTTTCTTATCTTTAAAATAATAATCTTATGCCCACAGACCTGTTTTGGTAATTAAACTACCATATATCATAGTAACTACTTATTAAATACCAGGTCCCCTCCTTCCTTCCCACATCTTTTTCTTTTCCCTGACTTTCCTGTCATTTTCTGGTATCCCCAATATTTTAAGTCCATTTTGAATTGTGATCATTTTCCTATTTTTCCACATTCTCTCAGTTCAGAAGATGAAAAAAATTGTTAAAAATTTGATGCTTGGGACATATGGGAGTTTATACTCTTGGAAAATTCAAGGAACTTCTAACAGCGATGTAGACTTTTCTACAAGTGGGTAAAACAATGGAACCGCAAGAGACAGAGGTAGTCCCAATCATATATTTTTTAGAGAAGTATGACAGATGGAAACTAAAAAGAGTCAGAAGGAGAGATGGTTGCATATCTTCATGTTTACCAACATGCAAAAGCATTTAAACCTAAAATTCTTTCATGCAATGGCATGCAAAACCAAACACAGCATAAAGAAAGGAAATCAGCGAAGAATGCAGAAGGCTACAGGCAACCAACTGAAATAAGCTTCAAGTTCATACAAACCTCCAACATTAAATTGCTATGTCTGATATAAATGTTTTCACCATCTAGTCTCTCTCTCTTTTTCTGTGAAAATGAAAGAGGGAAAAACAGAAAAGCATAAAAAATTAAAATGTTGTTCTTGCGGGAAAAAACTGCAAACTGGCAAACCAAAAAAATATTTAAAATTAAATGTCCACAGCGAAGCATATGCCAACATGAAATGGTCACAAAACTACAAGGACACACACAGAACACATTACCACTAGAAAACGATGACCCTGTCCATGAATGATGGAAGAATATGATGGTGTTATTTAAAAAGACAGTGCTCCTAGCTTCATTGGCTTCTTACATAATAAGCTGTTTTATGTTCATTTTTTAAATTGAGCTGTTTGAGGGGTATCTTAAAATACATGACTTTAAGAAGCTTTGAAGTTCCACGGCACAGAGAAATACTTTAAAACATTATTTACCTTTTTTGGACATATTTCATACTTAGTAATACCACAGTATGTATTCCTCTAATACCTCTCATAAGAAATTCTAAGGGCACTTTATACATGATTAGTCAATATTCCATTCCGTATGAACTGATATATCCAACTCTATACTTGGGAAGAAAAGACACAGAGCAGCAAAACACATAGCTAATAACAATACCAGGAGGTGCTGCTATGATGATTTCCATAGTAAATATGCATCAAATATTGTCAATGATTCTAAGAATATGGTGCCAACTGTTATACCTCTTATAACGTTTAAAAGAACGTTTGGTCTTTTGGACGGGTTTGGTCTTTAGTAATTGTCTCATTGTGTTTAAAAAGATATTTTCCTACTGGAAAGTTTATTTTAATGAAAAATTTCAACAAATAGTATAGAGTAATAATTTGGTATACATATGTAGGTGAATATATGCAAATACATATACATACACAAATATATATCTACTATTTGTAAGTAACTTCTGATTAAGAGAAATCAATGAAAAGAATGGATCACTGTCTTTTTAATGCACTGTAGAAGTCAGCATGGGTGATGGTAATGTAGTTTTGTGAAAGTGAAAAATGGCTGACCTTCCTCATTCTTATCAGATCTTCCGTTTTTTCTGCAAGCTTCTGTTTTGCCATTATTAAAAAAAAAAAAAGAAAAATGATAAAATATTGGCCCACTGAAGTTTGTTTGAACCTTTATTTCATAGTATTTTTTTTAAGGAAAGGGAGTTGGGGGGAAGAAAAAATTGAGGAGGGAGGAGAAAAGGAACAAGTGGCCTGTTGGCACAAACCTGTGTTTGGTCACCATTTGAGGTAGGTACTGTGACCTCGATGTGGGTTTTTTCCACCTACATTTAAGAAATAAAGTGGTAAAAAACATTTTAGGTTAGTAGGTGTCTATGAATCGCATTATTTACAAATAAGCCGCATCTTTAAGCTGGTTGCAAAATAAGCTGATATGTAATCAACATGATGCAGTCTTTTGGGGGTGTTACAGGGAAGGACATTACTCTCAATAGTAGTCTATTAGTTCACCATCATATTTTCAAGGCTGAAAAAGTAATATGGACAGCCAAATGATCATAAAAGAAAATTAAGATAATTATTCTGTTGATGAAGAAAACATTTTTATACTTATTTACAAAAAAGTATTTATACAAAGAATAATTTGTGCTTAAATACGGCAAGTGGCTTTTTTTTTTGCTTCTTTTTATGATCTAGAAGTATTTTAACATTTAAAAACAAATTTACAAATGAAGATATCAAGGTATGACATACATGATAGAAACAAAAAGAAAATCTTTACAGTTAAAGCACACATATAATAAACCACATATGACACAAAGCAGGTAAATACAAAAAAATTTGTTAGTCGATCAATATATTTAAGGAGGCAGTTTCACCCTTGAGTTTATTAGATAACAAAACATCAAAATAAACTCAATCCAAATTGTTACTGATGCATGCAATTACTTCCAAGGCTGATTTATAAATAAGCACACAGAGGGCTCAGCTGCAACATTCAGCGCTCTGTAATCTCCTCTCCAGGGAGCCAGAGCCCATGTGTTTGCTGGATGGACAAGATTCATCCTTTGTAATAGGAAGAGAATAACTAAGTCCTCCTGTCTACCTTTGAAATACCTTTAGTAATAGTCATTTTATATACCCCAAATGGAGTAAGTATAAATTTAAAAAACCCAGACTATTAAGAGGAAGTATTTTAGAGTGGTCAATGCCTAAAGCAGTAGATATTTCAAAATTAGAAAACTTTTTATTAAGGGTCAAATCAATCACTTTGTATCATTAACTTCTTTACAGAACCTCACCAATCTGTGGTTTTGACACACGCTTTTTGATCACACTTGGCAGCATTACCTTGGAGTACAATGTCATTGTGATATTTTCCCTAGGACAGAGGGTAGACCAGAGAACACCAACCTTTGTGACACTGTCAAGTCGTAAGCAGATCCAGCTACAGTACTTCTAACTACCAGGATAACTGACAATTTGGGTCATTTCTACTATGAGTCCCATCATATTTGTTGTGTGGTCATTAGCAAGTTATTAAACCTCTCTGAGTTTGTTTTTTATTGCTAAAGTGGAGATAATACCTCCATAGAGTTGTAAATGTTTAGCAAATGATAATTTTAAGTTATTTTGTAAAGCTTAAATTACTTGTTTCAATGAATAATGATTTTTTTGCTTTGGGTCCTTAGCAATCCAACACCAAGAAACTGAGAACCTCTACTTCAGTCTAAGAGTGGAGGCCAAATAACAAAGGTAGCTATACCCCTTGGGAGAATATTAAATGAGATAAAAGTGTACATAGGGAGAAGTACTATTCCACACCAATAGGTCTTGTCAAATGACTCAAGATGCCAAAAAGTTACCTCCATCTGGCACCAAATTCATGTTAGATAAAGAAATTTATAGAGTCACAAGGTTATTTTATTACTACGATTGCTTTATATAATAACTATGGCTTCAGGTAAATTTCATAATTATTTTCTATTACTATGATAAAATCAACTTAGAGCCACCCTTAATTCTGTCACCACTATTACAGTAATGGAAGTTTATTAGAGATGGTTTTCAGTCTGATCTCTACACAAGTATCTCAAAACATATATGTATACAGATTTAATTGGCAAGAAAATCACCTAGTGGCACTTAAAATGGGAAGCATATACCAGGAAGTGATGTTGCCACTCTGCCAAGGTCCCAAGAGCAAAGGGAACCTATTTTTGAAGATACATGTGTCTAATTTATAGGCTAAAGAACAAGTAAGTTAGCAGAACACCAAAGGAATCTTAACCACTCAAAAGGATTCCTTTGCCAACTCCAGTAATCCAACACTTCCCAGTTGGTATAACAAATGGAGGGATAGTCAAAAGCGCCAGATGAGATATCCTAACAGTAAAAACTGAGGTAGTCTAGGGGTGCCTGGGTGGCTCCATTGGTTAAGCATCCAATTCTTGGTTTCAGCTCAGGTCATGATCTCACAGTTTGTGAGTTCAAGCCCCACATCGGGTCCTCTGACAGTGTGGAGCCTGCTTTGGATTCTCTCTCTCTCCCTCTCTCTCTCTGTTCCTCCCCTACTTCTGCTCTCTCTCTCTCTTTCTCAAAATAAATAAATAAACTTAAAAAAAAACCCTGAGGTAGTCTAATGTTAAAATGGCACTGTTGATACTGAACCTGATGGCCAATGTCATGCACATTTGGCTAGGTAAAAAAATGCAAATATCCACCATTCACTCAATTTTTTTCTCTCTCTGGACTCAAGTTAGTCTCAGAGGACAGTAAAAATGGCATGTCATGTTGAACAGTTGTTTTTGTTTTTTAATACAGTCAAAACAGAGCCAGATTGTCCAGTGCTCTACAGATAAACTAGATATTGAACTGACTCCAAAAGAACAGGGTTAATCCATCTGCCAAGGTGAGAGCACTTAACTAAGGTAAGTGCTTAAATTTCTTAATAAATATAAAATGTAATTTTTCTTACAAAAACTGCCTCTCAGAGGGGTTGTGGGAGGGGGGATGGGCAAAATGGGTAAGGAGCATTAAGGAAATCTACCCCTGAAATCATTGTTGCACTATATGCTAACTAACTTGGATGTAAATTTAAAAAACTGCCTTTATTAACTCCTGTGGTCAATAGTGATACTTGTATTTATGTCAATAAATCTGAACACCTCAACTCCATCACTGCTTAAATGTGTTTAAAAAGCTTACCAACACATAAAAGATCAGTCCATTTACAGTTAGTACTGGGAAATCTGCTAATTGGTGATTTTTAAACAAGATCAGTGACTGTGAGTACAATCAACTCAGAACTGTAAGCAACTCAGTGGCATAACCTCTCCTACATAAGAATCTTCCCCTTTTTGTAAGCAATTTGATTTGAACAACCATATAGATATGCTTTAGGCAATACTAGGATATTCTCTGGGTATGTTGCACACATATTCCTCTTAGGGAATCAAGTTATATTTTAATCCTATTAGAGCATACTCTTTATTTTTTTTTTTTTTAATTTACATCCAATTTAGTTAGAATATAGCCCAATAATGATTTCAGGAGTAGATTCCAGTGATTCATCCCCTATGTATGACACCCAGTGTTCATCCCAACAAGTGTCCTCCCTTCCCCTTTTAGCCTCCCCCCTCCCCACCCCTCCAGCAAACCTCAATTTGTCCTAGCAGAACTTACTCTTAAAAAAGAATGTGAAGATTCTTTCTGGATGAGTAAAAATTATTTTTAAAAGCAGATGATCACAGTGCTGATGTGCTTTCTAGATGCGTTTTGTTGTTTTGTTTTGTTTTAGATATAAGTTAGGTGTAGGTAGGTCACCTGAAACTTCTCGGATGGCTTAGTTTTCATGACATCATTCTATGAAAATATTTTACAGGTACATGGGGAATACTTTTTTCCAGAAAGAGTAAAGAAGAAATCACTTTGTTAGAATTGTACAAGAATCGGTGCTTTGAAAACCTTCCTGGTCAAGGAGTTAATCCGTCTGAATCAGAAAGTGAATGAGCTGGATATTTGGGACTTATGACATACCTTCCACACTTCTGTGGGCTCCGGCTCAGCTTGCTCCGGTGGCTCTTCTTCCTTTTTCACTTCGAACTTCACTGTTTCCTTCTGTGCTTTAGAGACCACTGTTTTTTTGACAGATGCATCTGGAACACTGCCTTCTGTGACCTGACTCTGAGCAATGGCTGGTGCAGAAGTGGGCCGAGGACTTCTGTCTGAATCAACAGCTGCTGCTATGTGAGAAAGGAAAAAGGAAAGAATCAGTGAAGGCAAGAGTCACTGTACTACTTCAAAGTCACCAGGTAAAATAATTGTGAATCGAGGACACAGTGTCCAGTGGGCTATCATACAGAAGGTATAAAATAAATCATCAGTGCTCTGCCGGGTAACTGATGGCAATAAAAAAGCAAAAACAGAAAAGCTAAACTGTGCTATCGTGGCCCATAAGGGGGTATCAAAATAAGAAAATTAAAAACTTTTTGTTAAAAAGTTAGCAAGATTGTTTAACCTTGTTAAGCAAAGGGTTAATTAAGTCTGATTCCTTTCATGAAGACTTTTTGAAATAAAGATCCATTTATTTAGGGGTGCCTGGGTGTCTCAGTTGGTTAAGTGTCCAACTTCAGCTCAGGTCATGATCTCAAGGCTTGTGAGTTCAAGCCCTGCGTTGGGCTCTGTGCTGACAGCTCTGAAGCTGGAACCTACTTCGGATTCTGTGTGTGTCTCTCTCTCTGCCCCTCCCCAACTCACGCTCTGTCTCACTCTCTCTCAAAAATAAATACACATTCAAAAAAAGAAAAGAAATGTCTTTTAAAAGATACATTTATTTACAAGTGATTTTAGAAACCTAAAATACATATTCCAAGAAAGAAGGATCAAGTCTGATTTCTTCTGTAAATCCTGCTTGGAACGCATACAAAATAACTTGATAAATTGATCTTCTGGTAAGACATGCACACTTTTTGATGCTTGTTTAAGGGCAAATCTTTGAACCAGACACTTTCCTTTTTAATAAGTCACTTGATTAAAATAGTATGAATTCAAAACCTTTGGCCTTTAGTCCTTAAAAAAATAAAAATCAACCTTTTGAGTTCTGTCCTACCTCTCTCAGAATCTTACCAATTTGTATTATAGTTTCTCTTCTCTAATATATCCAGGGCAGTGGTTCTCAACCAGGGGTGATTTTGTCCCCCAGAGAATATTTGGGAACATCTGGAGACATTTTTGATTGTCACAACTGGGGAGAGAGGTAGTAGGGGGTCCCTGGTAGTGTGTACAGGCCAAGGTTGCTGAGGGTAAGAAACCTTGACTTAGGGAAAAGGTTATATATAGACTCTTTTAGAGAGTATATGCAATACAGGCTTATGACAAAAGCTTGAGCTTTCCAGAGTTAATAGTTGTTCTGGTTTGGACCATTAGTATCTAAGTTTCCGATCACTTACTTCAAAAACAACTACTCATACTCTTTTTATGATTTTTTATCTTCATTCTTTCAGGGACTAAAAGAAAACCTATACACACACTTTGTAGTAAACCTCATTTATCTGGCAGTGTCTAGGAATGAAGTGTGTTTCCACAGGATTTAATATTTCTGATGACAGATCATTATCCTTTATGTACTGAGACTTTTGAATTTTAATTATTTTGCATGGAATCCTTACAATTAAAAAAAATTTTTTAATGTTCATTCACCCTTGAGAGAAAGAGTGCGTGCATGCATGTGCACGTGTGTACACACACACACACACCACAAGTGGGGGAATGGCAGAGAGAGAGGGAGACAGGGGATATGAAGCAGACTGCGCTGACAGCAGAGATCCTGAAATGGGACTCAAACTCTCGAACCGTGAGATCATGACCTGAGCCAGAGTCAAACACCTGACTGAGCTACCAAGGTGCTCCAGAAATACTTACAATTTTTATTGTACACTTTCTTCTGCTTTCTTAAACTGAATATACTGAATTTATCGTGATAAACTTAGATTGATAGGCAGTATATATTAGCCAAAACACAGGAATTCCATGAATCAGAACAGATAAAAAATTGGAATTCACAACTACCTTACACATACAACACCAAGAAAAAAAATGCTTGTTACCCTGTAATGATCTCCAGTGAAAGAAATCATTCCTCAGATAATACGTAGGAAAAACAGTAGAAATGTAAGAATCATCTGTCTTCCTTCCAGTGAAAACTCTGTGGCCTCTTTCAAGTCCTTGCTACTCATGGGTGCTCTAAACTACTCAATGCAAGAATGGCAGATGGCAGACCAAATCTAACAACACAGGGGAATGTGACAAAATATTTTGCTCACAGTTGTGTTAAACTATCATTATACATGTGTATTCACACCTCCTCTCAAAGAATTAATTCAACTCTGCCTGGCATCATAGAAACATAGCCCATGCTTTCACCATGTGTTATTTTGCCACTTGCATTTGGTTTTAATCCAATACTAATACTGCAGAGCCAAATGATTTATGTCTTCAGTATTCCTAGCCCTGGCAATCTGTACCGTCTATGGAAAAGTAGGTATAAGTGTGGAAACTGGCAGTTAGAAACAGAGGCATAAAGTTTCATCATTTGTAAAATGTGGAAGATATTAACTCTATAGGACAGTTAGGGAAGGCATACTCAACGGACATAAAAAATACTTTAAAAATGCTAAATATCAATAACTTTTAATGTCATATCTCTAAGTCCTTATATTTCTTTGTCATGGGTTAATATTTCAACAGTATGTAGGGCAAAAATTAATTATGCACACACTGATAGGAAATTCAAGTGGAAGATATCACCTGGGAGCCCTGGAGAGAGGCAAATTTCTTTCCTTTTCTCAATAAGAAGGCTCCAGGGGCACCTGGGTGGCTCAGTCGGTTAAAGTGTCTGACTTTGGCTCAGGTCACAAGCTCATGGTTCATGAGTTTGAGCCCCGCATCGGGCTCTGTGCTGACAGCTCAGAGCCTGCTGTCTGCTTCAGATTCTGTGTCTGCCTCTCTCTCTGCCCCTCCCCCGCTCAGGCTGTCTCTCAATAAATAAATAAATAAATAAACAAACAAACAAACAAACATTTTTTAAAAGGCTACAAAGTATGGATTGCAACTGAGAATCATGGTAGTGACTCTGGTTGTTGTTTTTTTTAAACATCTTTATTGAGATACACTTCACATACCATATAATTCATCCATTCAGTTGTACAATCCAATACTTTTTACTATATCTACATTATTGGGGGTAGTGATTACTTTTTAAGATGTTTTGGCTCTTCAGTTTTGTGAATTCATTTGTTAGCTATTTTAAGATTTAGGTGCATATATAGAGAACACTTAACTTTAAAAATTCAATTACTTCCCATTTCTGAATGTCTAGACAAAGAAGAGTGTTGTGATAATCTTATGGACCCATTAATTCTAGTATTATATTGTTCTTGTTTAAAAACAACAGAAACTTAGGGGCAGTTATATATTAGAATAGTGAAAAGTAAAACTCAAAACTATCATATTGAATAAAAGGAAACTTAAATTTTAGATCTAGCTCTGTTACTTACACAATTTCTGTTAGTATGGTATAGGCACAATAGGTATGGAGTGGATCAGTGGTTTCATTATCAGAGGGCCCACATAAATCAGCTGCAGATCTTGAAAAACAAAAAAATGCAGCTGGGGGCACATGGGTGGCTCAGCTGCTTAAGCGTCAGACTCTTGATTTTGGCTCAAGTCATGATCTTGCGGTCTGTGGGACTTAGCTGTGTGATCAACGTGGAGCCTGCTTGGGATTCTCTCTCTCCCCCTCTGTCTGCCTCTCCCCCTGCGCACGCGCGTGCGCGCACACACACACACACACGCACACACTCTTTCTCTATCTCAAAATAGATGAACATTAACAAAACCCAAACAAACAGTTGATGCTCAAGTCCACCACAGACAGATGAGGGATCTCAAAGTAAGGCCTGGGCATGTGTTTTGCTTTAAAGCTCTAAAGATGATACCGGTGTACCCCCTGGCAAGAATCACTGCAACCACGACCCACTGAATGGATGAACTACCCAGTTAAACGACCCTAGCAAGTTATAACCTTTTCTGTGCCCAGTTTCCTCATGATTAAACCAAGAATTCCTAAATGCTTCTTGTTCATTAGGTTGTTGGTACTAATTAGGATATATGGAAATGGTTTGAAAAGCAAAAGGTGGAACAAAAATATAAGCTGAATGCCTTGTTATCATTATTAGCTATCCTTATGACTTACTATTCTAACGTATAAACTGGGATCTGAACCAATTTTAGCTCTTCAGCTGGTGAAGCAGATGCTCTGAACACCAGATATAACAGAAAAGGGAGCGTTCATTCATATCATTAGAGTGAGGTCCCTTATAAAACAATTCTTGTAAAAGTTTCCATCTCCAGCTTAGAGGCATATATATACATATATATGGAGGGGTCTAACAGGGAAAATCTCTCTCTCAAGATTCCTAGAAGGATCTAGGAAAAAGAGGGAAAATTAGTTTCCATAGACCTGTTTCTAATTCTTGTACTGAGAAGACAGCACACAGAGAAAAAAAAAGACATTTGGAAACAAAACTAAAAAAAATTGTCTTATTTGGTTTATATGTAATTCAGAGGCTTAAAAGATACTACCATATGTAAAATATTTAGAACAGTGTCTGGAACATACTAAGCACTCAATGATTATTACTATTTTTTATTCTCTTTCTTCTAAAAAAAAAAAAAAAGCTGTCACGGTGAAGAGTAAAAACATGGGTCTGGGAGAACAGTCCTAGACTCTACTAATTTCGTTGCTATGTGACCTTAGGCAAGTCACTTAAATTCTAAGGTTAGGTTGAAAGAAATAATGAACAGCAAAGGGTATCCATTTCAAGAAATTAAAAACAACAGCTCAATAAGATAGAAAGAAAATAATGAAGATATTAACTGGCATAAATTAAATTAGAATATTTATAGTATAAAAAAAACGTAAAAGTTAGTTTTTTGAAGAGATTTAGGAGGCCAGCATAAACTTGATACTAAAACCTGACAATATCACGAAAAAAGAAAATGACAGGCTTCTCTTACAAAAATAGTTACAAAAAATTCTAAAATAATATAGTAAGAAAAACATAATCAAATTGCATTTACTCGAAGAATGTAAAGTTGGTTTAATGACTGAAAATTAATCAGTGTTGGGGCGCCTGGGTGGCGCAGTCGGTTAAGCGTCC